CATCTATGTTTCTACATCTCTATCCCTCTTCCTTCCTCTCTGTAAAAAAATCAATAAAATATATTTAAAACAACTGAAACACTAATTATAAAAAAATATATGCATCCCTATGTTTATTGTAGTGTTATTTACAATAGCCAAGGTTTAGAAGCAGCCCAAGTGTGCATCAGTAGATGAGTGGATTAAAAGCTGTGGTATTTTTACACAATGGAATACTACTTGGCCATAAAAAAGACTGAAATCTTACCCTTTGCGACACATGTCTGGATCTGGAGACCATTATGCTAAGTGAAATAACCCTGGCAGAGAAAGATAAGTACCATATGATTTCCACTCATAGGTGGAATCTAATGAATAAAACAAACCAGCAAATGAAATAGAAACAGATTCATAGAGAGAGAACAGATTGACATCTGTCAGAGGGGAGGAGGTTTGGGGCTGGGTGAAAAAGGTGAAGGGATTAACCAAAAACCCCCAACAAACAAACTCATAGGCACAGATAACTGTATGGTGATTACCAGAGGAGAATGAGGGTGGGGGGAAGCAGAAGAGGTTATAGGGAGGATCATGGAGAATGGAAGGAATCTTTGTTTGTGTGGTGAACACACAATACAATATATAGATTATGTATTATAGAATTGCGCACCTGAAACCTATATAATTTGATTAGCCAGTGTCCCCCCCTATAAATTCAATAAAAGGTGGGGAAAAAGAAAAGAGTTCAGCTGGAAAATGGACAAAAGATATGAAGAGAAATGAAAGAATAGAGAGAAAAATATCTGAAAGCTTGTAAACTTATGAAAATATGTTCAATTTCTCCATTTGTGAGAAATGCAACTTAAAGTTACCACTTTTATCAGTTTGGCAAAACTTCAGTCTGACAATAACAACTTGGTAAGCACCGAAGGACATGGAGCATGGTGGAAGCGCAAATTGGCATCAACCACTTTGTAGAGAAATTTGGCAAAATATGAGATAGCTAATGATATGCCTGCTTTATGACTCTGCAATTCTACCTCCGTGTATAGCTTAGGGAATCAACCCTATAGAACAGAGAAACTGGAAATAATGTGCCATTGCTAGGAGAAAAAATAAATTTAGAATTATTTCACAGAAACATGCCAAGTGGATAATAAAATGAATGAACCAAATCTACATTTGTGAATATGGATAGATCCTGAAATTAAAACGTTTAATAAGAAAAGCGAGTTGCAATGTAAAATTTAAAAATACACATCCAAACAGATACACACGCAAAATATATACAATAACATGAATAGAGAAATGCACATGAACTTTTATTGGATGGTGGTTACTTCTGAGAAGAAAAATGGGGGAAGAGGTTAAGGAGAGTACAAAAGGGACTTTGCCTGTGTCTGTACCATTTTGTTTCTTAAAAGATATGAAGCAAATATGCTAAGATGTTAACATTTTAACAATGTGGTGGGTGAAGAGATAAACGTATTTATATTATTTTCTATAGTTTTCTAGTCGTATACTTCTTTTGGGCTTGTTTGAAAGGTTTCACAATAATAAAATAAAAAATAAATTTAATAATTTAAAAACTGACTCTCATGGGTAAAGTCCTAGATTTTCTTTTAAAAATCTTTGGGAAACATTGTTCTTATATTGAGATAAACTTCCAAAAACCTTTACGTTATGTGAACAGCATCTTTTCTCAAAGTTTTATATTCAGTTATTACTGGTTTATAGTGTAATGTGTTTTGCCATTCTTCATTGTTTTTGTTAAGTCTATGTAAGATGTTTGCTTAGCTTTTTCACAAAATTATTTAGAATTTAAAGGCACAGCTTTCTGGGTCTAGTCATCTGTACATCCAGAAAGTTGGCATGTTAAGAGGATGAAACTAATGTGTGCAAATCTTAAAATATTATGGGTTTTTGTTATACAAATATCAAAAGTTATTTTCAGAAAACTGTGCTTGGCAAGTCTACAACCCTACCATAGAGACAGTATAACAAAAAGAAGAGGGCTTTTTAAAAGTTAAATGTTGATGTTAAGAAATTTAACCTCATTGTAGCTGTGTTTTATCTACCTAAATGATGCTGTCTGATTAACAATACCCAATCCAGCATCAAGTAAATTCAAAAAAATCTACAACTAAATATAGGAGTTAATTTAGTAAATTCACAATTAAGTATGTATTGTTTTTTTTTATATATAGATATACGTATTTTTATTGATTTTAGAGAGGGAGAGGAAGAGACAGAGATAGAAACATCAATGATGAGAGAGAATCATCGATAAGCTGCCTCTTGTACACCCTTCCCTGGGGATCAAGCCTGAAACCAGGCATGTGCCCTGACCTGGAATCGAACCGTGACATCCTGCTTCAGAGGTCAAAGCTCAACCACTGAGCAACACGGCCCAAGTTCAAATTGTTTTTTTGATTTTCCTAGAGGAGGCTCCCGCTTTGAGGATCACTAAACTGGATCTAAGGACACCATACTTGTTTTATCTTCCAGATTGTGTTTCTCTGTGATTTAGATCAGCTTTTTATAAAATTTTAGCAGAATTTTTGTGGCTAATAAAACATGTGCTTAATAACTTTTTTTTTTTTGCATAGATAAAGGAAAGGAATCTACATCAGATTAGATCAAGAGATAGATTTTCAGAAGAAAATGACTGATATATCCTCTGGGAGCAGTGGAATGCAGACATGCTCTGTCTCTGAGTTTAAGGCATCTATGAACAATTCCACACCCACACCCACACAAAGACGCAAACAGTGGTCACAACTGCATCTCCAGAAGCTGCCTCGCTCCTGTCTCATTTCCAAAGTGCATCCACTGTTTTCCATAACATAAAATAAATCCCTCTCTTTTGCCCAGTGGTGAAAAGCTTATATAAATACTAAAATTTCAACTATCCCCTCGAGCTTTCTCTTGGCAAGCCTGCAGCTATGGGTTTGTTTGGTTATTGACATATGTTTTCTGTGTAGATCTTCCAGGCCACTTGGGTGAGCCCAGTGGTGATAAATGCACTTGTCTGGAAAATTTAGCAGACTAATCATTATAACACTCTGTTTATGAAAACTTAAATAATTAACACTCTGAACGAAAAGGCTCTATATTTGAAGTATCTCTTTTATTCTTTCAACATACATCATTTTGGTGATACATATCTCTATAAATCCTCGAAAGTCTTAGCCAGGAGATGACTTTAACAGTCATTGAAAAGAAAATATGGATGTAAAGGATTGATTAGTGCAAGACATTTAATCTTGCATTGTGGTGTTCCCATGAAGGAATATTTTTCAATATTTGGGAGTGAGATATTTTATTGTGTACTGAATAGGGATAATTAACATTACTAATCTGTAATTAAAATTTATAATGAAAAATCTTTATTTCTCATAATGGAGAGAAATGGGGAGGCATTATATTTAAAGACAATAATCAAGACATTCTCTAGCTGTTTGTAGAATAAGTGGATGCATGAATAGGATTAATTACATTCCTAAAATGTAATATTACCTACATAAAAATTATCAGATTCTTATTTATATGGAAATTTTAATGTAAAATAATAATGTAAATTATTTTATATAAATATGTAAACATTATAGTTCATGTAGTAGTCTATCTTTTAGAGAATACATTAATTCAAACTTCATGTTTTTTTTTTTCTTTGTATCTACTAGAAGGCAATCCGAGAAATGTCCTCAAAGTATTGATAGTGTTTTTACACTTTTTTCTATATGGAAGAAGTCCATTTCTCTAATATAATTTTCCATGGAATCTGTAGAATCTATGTGTAAGAGCGCTGAGTAGAAGTCCTTGAATATAAACATTTCTCCTCTATTTGCACTAGTGAAGTAATTTACGTGCTGCCAGTAATCTACCTTAGCTAATGCTTTTAAAAAACCTTTTCACCTCGATTGTTACTTTAAAAATAATTTGCTATTTTAACAATTAGCAGTTCTAAAGTTCTTCATATATACAAACTATGAATGTCTTTGAGGATCCAAGGCTGTTCTGTCCTTTTTTAAAAGAGAAGAAATATAAAACAGTAAATTTCATTAATGAATTAGGTTCCCTTTCCTTCCTTAAAGAGAAAATGAAGAAAATCAAATAAGCATTTATGCCCATGAACTCCAGTTTTAAGTTATACTAAAAACGAAACAAAGGTAAAAGACTTTAATGAATTTGAGTGTTGTTGGCTAACCTGAGATATCTGTCTTTATAAGTAATGTCTAATTTTTTTCTGATTAGTAAGTCACAGTATGGATAAATAAGTAACTGAGATTATTTTTAGTAATGCTTGTGGCTGTTAATTCTGATGCACTGTGAATGTAATGGTGATAAAACATGTACCTTTCTTTTAAAACAACCACATTAGTTTATTTTTTTTTGTTTTGAGGAGTAATATAGTATATCAGTCTCTATGCCTGAGACCTAAAAAATACTTTGCCCAGTAATATGATATTCTCAAAATTGCAATGATACTATTTTTATAAGGAACTCAATGACACATTGAAACAATACAATTTTTCACATACTCTCTCTTCTCCAAGGGAGTCTTTGTTAAAAAGTACATATGGACAGAAATAGGAGGAATCGTGGATTTTCAACAATTCTACCTGGTTGGCTACAATGCAGCTTAAGCCATTTCATATAGGCAACATTCTCTCATAACTAAGATCAAAGAAACTAGAAAATACTGCCATTACTGGTTGCTGTAAAAGAGGGTCACATGAGAAATAAAGTTGTTACCTTTTCTAAAAAATATATATTTTTATTCATTTCAGAGAGGAATGGAGATGGAGAGAGAAATAGAAATATCAATGATGAGAAAATCATCCACAGGCCACCTCCCGCATTCCCCCAACCAGGGATTGAGCCCGAAACTCGGGCATGTGCCCTAACTGGGAATCGAACCATGAACTCCTGGTTTATAGGTTGATGCTCAACAACTATCACACTGGCCGGACACCTTCTTTAGAGTATAAAAATGCATCTTTTTTTCGGTCTCTTTCTAGGTTTGAAGAAGAAATGACCAGCAAGTGGTTACACCTCTTTGAAGGCAGTAAAGTCCCCTATGGCCCAATAAACAATATGAAGAATGTATTTGCAGAACCTCAGGTTTGCTTTTTGAAGTTTTTATTACACCATGATTAAAACAAAAATTTGCTTTTGTTTTCTATCCAGATTTATTCATATAAATATAAATTAGTCATTAGTCTTACACTTTAATCATATAACTTGATATTTTACTGTTATGTTAAACTATGGGTATGAAATAGAAATAATTAGAATTTAAAATGGGCTGTCTACAATCATAATTTTATGTTTACCAGATCTAATATATTTCTTCAGCCGCCACTACATAAAATTTCCAAGGTCAGGACATTTTTTTCCCTGTGAAAAATAGAAATATAGACCACTGAGAGGTTGGGGTCAGACATTCAGAAAACATCCTCTGTAAAAAGAAATATGAGAATTTTCACAGTTACAGCGTATTTCTCATAATATGGCTCTCTTAAAGTGTACAAAGCAAGGCATAGTTAATTCCTCAAATGAGAGGCTTTTATATGCTTTGATTAATGTGTGTTATTCATGAAGAATAAATTGTACTTGAATAGAGATTTGTGCTCTACCTTGATACAGGCTCCTTAGTGGGGCCCAGGGAAAAGGGTCAACTGAAAAAAACACACAGTTCTTCTATAATATTGTTTACCTGGTTATTTTTAGATAGTGTCAAAATAATGTTTTTATTTTAATCAATATCATGGCAAGCGATTTATCATTTCTGAGATTCATATATTAATCCCCAAAGCTAGAAGAACTTCATTTCTCTGGGAAGGTTTCACTGTGATTATTTCTATATCTTGTCAGTTTTCAAAGTTTTGAATTTCTAGAGTTTTAAAAATCCTTTTGATTTATATAGTGACAGATCCTTGAAATGAATTGTTGAAAATGGAATAGACGTTTTAAGCTAAGAGAACTTTGTTGAAAACTGACCTAACCCTTTACTTTGGTACCTTTATCTTACATGAATATATATATATATGAAAATGTAATGATTTAATTCAATGTTTACAATATTTACTGAAGAAAAAAAGTGAATGAATTCAGGAATTCTGCTCGTGCTGTTTTTCAGCCAAGATTGTGAGTACGGCAAGGCTTGGTCAATAAGTATTTGAAGTGAGGGAGCCCACTTGATACTCACTGCGTTTATGTGAAAGGGTCCGCACCACATCAGCAAATTAATTCCTTGTGATTCCTTGTGGTGAGGTAGCATATACACACTCTGGGAGTAGTAGACCAGACACCCCATTTTCTTACTTCATAACTTTGAATAAAAGGCAAATCTTTGGCTTTATGCTGTACTGGGACGGGGAAGGGGGGGGGGTAGTTGGGGGTAGGGAAGGGGGATGGTTGTTTTTTATTGTTACTTTTCTGCTTAAAACTGATACAAAGCTGTGTAGGGCTTTACATTTAACTCATTTGGAGGGCACATTTCTCTAGAGATAATTCCTGAGAGCTTTTCAGCAGTTTTGTTGCTCCACTTGTATTTAATCAGGGGTAAAGTCATTAAAGTAAAGAATGTCACCATAAAAAATCATTAGATATATTCTAACATTACCTATTTTTTAGGCTTTGATGAAAAAGGATACCCCCGTCACCTTAAAATTGTTCACTTTATGGGCTGGTTCAAATTGAATATAGGATAATTAGAATTTTCATTCCCAAGTTTAATTATTTCAACTCTTTTGGACCTTCAAGAAATTTCTATTGTTGGTCTATGGTATATTTCCAGTACTTAGCTCAGTTCCTAAATGGAGAAGGTTGAAATTATCTAAGCTAGGATATCAACTTTTGCTTCTACCCCCAAAGGCTCTGAAAACTGCCTTCTTACACACCAAAAAATAGATTCTAATTGCTACAGTCCTAACCTCAAAAATTCTTAAGCATACAGTGATAGTTGTTGATAATTTTACTCTAGTTGCAAAAGTAGAGTTGGTCTCATATATAATTTTATTCTGTGGAATTTAAATGCTAAATTGTATGTATAAAATTTATCTGGATTTTTAGTAAGACTAGAGAGCAATGTAGTATTATTACATTTAAAAAGTAATCAAAGGCAACTATGGCAATTGTAAGTAGGACTTTTTTGCACAAGAGGCAAGGGCACTGTCTTTCCCCTGTGCTTGGATATTTGGCTCATTTAGAAAGAAGTGCATATAATTTTGAATTTTGAAGGAATGTAGACTGTGAAAAAGATCAGAGTGTTTTTCTTAACTTTGTGTAAAATAACCGATTTTACACAAATTTAAATAGGGCATCTACAAGTAACTATTTTGATAGTTTATTCAAGAAACCTTTATTGTTGTTAATGTACCAGGCTCAAGATATTCAGTATGAGTTTGGTAATTTTCTTCCTTTCTGAAAAATAAATTCAAAATGGACTTCACTAGCAAATACTCAATAAATATTTGTTGATGCATGAGTCAGCGAATGAATGAGTTGATTCTCTGCAAAGTATAGATTTTTCCAAATGATCCAGTGACTGACAAGCTCTATCTATGGGCCTGGCTGAAAAGCCTTTGGTTGAAAAGCTCAGGGACCAAGCATAACGTAATGGTGAAGACCATGGAGTTAAAATTGATGGGCAGTTTTATAAACTCTCTAGGTTTCAGCCTCCTCGACTGGAAAGTGGTGAAATGGGATCCCTCCTTTATATTGTTGTAAATGGTAAATGAGATCGTGTTGAGTAAGGACGCATAGTAGGGACTGCCAGAGGTAAATGCTTAAGGAATGGGAGGAGCTCTGGTTTTGATGGTGCCCTTTGTGGTTAGTTTTTTGTGAAAAAACACTTTCTTTTGCTTATACCTTTGTTTGATGGGTAGAGGCACACCCAGTGTACCTGTGGAGTTGGAGATCATTAGCTTCAAACTGAGCTCCAACTAACATCCTTAAAAAAAAAAAAAGCATCGGCAAACTCTATGCCAAGAAGTTCTCAACCCCTCACCGTTTCTGATGACTGAAAATCCTTTTATTTTTCACTTTCCGTGAAAGTATAATTTCCGTTTAAGGTGTCCTCCCTTGTTTTCCCCCTGATGAGCTGTGGAGTTTCTTGGCCCTGGGCGCATGCAGCCGGCCACTTCTGTTCAGGTGTGGGGCGGCACTGCTGGCGCCTGGGGCCCAGCGCTCAGTGTGTGCTGTGCCAGTGCAGCTGCTGGTTCCACTGAAAACTGACTTGGGTGAAGTACAAGGCCTGGAACATGGTGCAGAACGTGAGACTTTGATGAGGTGAAAGGGGGTATGTTTAACCACCCCCCCCCAAAAAAAAACCCCACAAAAAGGTTTTGAAGCATCACCAAATAGGAGAGCATTTTCTGTGGCTGTACTTATCAAGTAGACATTTACATTTCATCTGTGGTTTACATTTTCATCTTGTTGGCAACAAAAATTTACAGGATGGCAGAAACTATTTCTATTTCTAACCTAAATAATTTCATTATTGTCTAGTGTTTGGAGAAATCTTTTTTTTTTTTTTTTTTTTTTTTTTACTTTACCTAAGCAGCAGATCACTTTTTTTTCTTTGATAGATGCAAGGTTCTCTACCCTCTATCTCTGATTATATGCCTCAGCACTTTGCACAGTTAAATTGATGCTACAGGTATCTACTGATGAGTTAATCAGGAATACTATGGGAGGGGGGCAGGGAGTTGGCCTATATTTACTGATAATTTTTGATCCCAAACCTTTTTACTAGTGGTAGTTTTGTTGTTTTCTTGTCCCTCAGTGATAAATTGTGGAAAACCATTTGCATTATAGAAGTATTAGAGGCCTGGTGCACTAAATTTTTGCATGGAGGCGGGGAAAGTCCCTCAGCCCAGCTTGCACCCTTTTGCAATCTGGGACCCCTCAGGGGATGTCCTTCTGCAGGGATTGGGTCTAAACCAGCAGTCAGACCTCCCTCTCACAATCTGGGACCACTGGCTCCTAACCACTTGCCTGCCTGCCTGCCTGATCATCCCTAACCACTCTGCCTGCCTGCTTGATTGCCCCTAACCACTTGCCTGCCTGCCTGATCGCCCATAACTGCTCTCCTGCCTGCCTGATTGCCCCTAACCTCCCCGCCACCATGTCTTCATCTAGAACAGCCGTGGGCAAACTACGGCCCGCGGGCCGGATCCGGCCTGTTTGAAATGAATAAAACTAAAAAAAAAAAAAAGACCGTACCCTTTTATGTAATGATGTTTACTTTGAATTTATATTAGTTCACACAAACACTCCATCCGTGCTTTTGTTCCGGCCCTCCGGTCCAGTTTAAGAACCCATTGTGGCCCTCGAGTCAAAAAGTTTGCCCACCCCTGATCTAGAAGGACGTCTGGAATGATGTCTGGAAGGTCGTTTGGCTCTCTGGTCTAATTAGCATATTATGCTTTTATTATTATAAGTAATATAGATTATCTGCATATAGATTTTAATAGTTGTTTTTCCAAGTGCTTTCTTAAAATATTTTTTTTAATCAGGCCAAGATTGTGCAGTACATTAAAGGAATTCTTAAAAAGCTTAAAAAACTTATTAGATGACCTCAGTATGGGCCCATTTAACGTACCCTTGGGAACATGTGCATGAAATACATTGTGGTTTGAGGTTTTCCAACCCAAATAAACTTAAAAAGAAAATTCAGCTTTTAATAGAAAATATTCAAATTCCTGCAAAAATAGGTATGGATTTCACCACTGAGAGGGTTTAAAAGCATCAGTATCAACCATGACAATCTAAAGAGAATGTGTTATCTTGCTTTCTGTATTTTGCTTAAGACTGTATGTTTGGCGATTCTAGTGTATTACTATCTTTGAATGAACTGCTCAATATATATATATATATATATATATATATATATATATATAAATATAACTGAACCTCTGATTCATATTATCTTTCCTTGATACGGTGACCTCTGGTCGGGCAAAGGGTGTCACAAAGCTGGTGTTACTTAGCAGAGCCTTCCCGCTTGTACCACACACGTTGAACACATCAGGTGTAAGACATCACCCTGCAGCATCACTTCGGAGAACTATTGGGAGGGAACTCTCAGAACTGAAACATCACAGCTGGCCCTGACT